TTAAGAGCACTGGCTGCTCTTGCAGAGGACCTGGGTTTGGCTCCCAGCACCAACATTGTGGCTTACAACCATCGTAACTTCCAGTTCCAGGGTATTCGGCATCCTCTTTATGACCTCTCCAGCCACGTATATTATAATTACAGTTATAATTACAGTGCCAGCCATGAGTTCCCTCCCACTGAGAGGGCTTTAAGTTCAATTAGATAGCTGTTGATTACCCCCCAGATAACACTGCCACTACTGCACCAATAGAGGTAGTTTGCTGTGCCAGTCATTCTGGTTATTAGGCTTTAGGACTGGGTTGGACCATTGGCTGATTTTCTCCCTTAGCAGCTTGGATAGTATCTTCCAGAATATGAGAGTTAAGTTACAGGGAGAAGGCTTCCAAGTCGGTTCCTGCTCCATTGCTCCAAGACCTATGCTAGAATTATGTCCTGTCTTTGGTAGTAGGGTCTTATGTTTAATTTCTGGGAGATAATCAAGGGTTCTGGCAATAGCCTGTGTTATTTTGGGAATCTCTTGGAATACTCTGACCATTCTAAGGGATATCTCTCCTCTGGCACCATACTCCTTGTCATACAGCCCATAGGTATACACATGCACTAATGTTCAGACACCATGTGTGTATTTCTCAGGGGCTTCCCAAGCCAACACATTTCACCTCTGCCTTCCCAAGCCACCCATGATCCATTCATCTCTCTTCTCTCTCCCTCAACAACCTCCCTCCTCCCTCCCTAGTCCAAGGGCCACCATTATCCTCCCCCTCCCACCATAACACCCACCTTCCCCACCCTCTATCTCCCGAGTTCCTTCCTCTACCATCCCCATGGTCTCTTACATGTCCCTCCCTCTTCTCCTCCCAGCAAAACACTCCCACTTTTCCCATCTCATTCTTTTGTTTTATTTTGTTTTGTTTTAAAGAGATCAAGTCTACCCTGATTTGGAAGGAAAAAAGGATCACCCTACCCCATGAATATGTGCAATGACTTATGAATATGTTCATAAAACTTCTTTAAGCTCTACAATGCAGACCCCACTGGACTGCTCCCCCATCCACTCCAGTCTTTTTGGAGATTTTGCCTTGCCTCGTGCTCCTGAATAAACTTCTGTTTAAACTGTCTGTCACTCTTGACTAAATTCCTTCCCTCAAGAAGTAAAGAACTGAGAGACCCCCCCAATAACAGAGTAAGTCAGGTAGACGAGGACCGGGGAGGCAGCCGTGTACCCAGGTGACCTGTCCATCCACTGTTCCAGCTCCATGGAGAGGACATGGGAATCAGATGGTAGGCCCAAGTCCCACTCTGTAGGTCAAGGAGTTGGTAGGAAGATAAATCAGTGAAGTCATTATATAAAACAGCAGAAGTTCCTCAGAAAAGTAAACATGGATCCTGGATGTCCAGCAACCCCACTCCCAGCATTTACACAAAAGTTTTAAAACCGGACTGGAGAGATGGCTCACGGGTTAAGAGCACTGGCTGCTCATGCAGCGGACCCAGGTTCGATTCCCAGCACCCACATGGCAACTAGAGAACCATCCATAACTCGAGTTCCAGGGAATCCGACGCCCTCTTCTGACTTCTGCAGGCATTGCATGACACGGGTACACTTACACACATGCAGGCAATGCACTCATACACATAAAACATAAATAAATAAATAAATAAATAAAATATATTTTTAAAAGCAACTCATGGGCCAGTGAGATGGCTCAGTGAGTAAAGGTGCTTGCTGCCAAGTCTGACAGCCTGAGTTTGATCCCCAGGTCCCACATCATTGATGGAAGGAGAGAGCCAACTCCTGCAAGCTGTCCTCTGACCTGCACACATCCTAAGTGGCTCACACATTTCCCCCCAAAACACATAAAAGAGCTGCACAGTCTCACTGATGAGTGAGGACTGAAACTCAAAGGATCAGAGGG